AAAGTTGAACTAGAAAGTTGAATTAGAAAGTTGAACTAGAAAGTTGAACTAGAAAGTTGAACTAGAAAGTTGAATTAGAAAGTTGAACTAGAAAGAGAGCAAGGACATGGACGAGTACTTCTCTACTCTAGGAGAGAAAAGGAGGAGGAACTAGACTTAAGTGCGGGGTTAACATTGAGGGACTGCGTCCTCTTTACAGAACTAGAAGGACAGAGAGAAAGGAAGAAAATTTGAAGGAGGAGAAGTAATTAAAGGAGAAGAAGTCGAATTAAACAAGAAAAACAAGTAAAGGCTAAGTGAGTTTAGAAAATGCTGTTGCGAATTCTTGGTAGGCGCAGAATATTTGTCCTCTAGGATAGGATATGATATGATAGGATAGGGCCCCTTTGCTTCGTTCTCACGGATAAGTGCTACAGTGTGTAGAAGAAGCTAGAAACTCTAGTCCCTTCTGTCTCTTGTTGTCTAGAAGCTAGAGACTCCGGTCGTCACTTCGGTCTCTTATTCATAACTGTGTCTCGGCAAACGAAGCTGCAGCATCCTGCGATGAGGATTCAGGTCCTCCCTGTGGTGCTGCTCCTGCTGCTTCAGCGTTCTTCTGGGCACCTAGTAGTAGATTGGATCCTCCCTGTGGTGCTGCTCCTGCTGAACTACTAACACTCTACTTCTACTAGTACTAGCATTACAAAAATATGAAATACCCTTGACTTCTTGTCGTATCATACGATGAAGCACTCCGTTAAAAAATTTTACCTACTAAATGCTTGTCCTCCCTGTGGTGCTGCTCCTGCACTTCTGCTAGTACATGCGTACTTCTACTAGTATCAGGTGGATGCGAATACAACTTCTACAATAGTACCTCGAACAAGTTCTACTTACTCACTATCAGCTGGATCTGGGTGCGGTTATGAATTCCCCAAACATACTATCAGGTGGATGCGGTTATGAATTCTTAAATGAAAGCAGGTGGACTTCAACAATATAACGACTATCAGGATGCGAAAACTATTCTACAATACCTCGAAAAATAGGAACAATACTGTAACTTCTGCCACAATACCCAATAGTACCTCCAAAAATCTGCGCAAAAGCCGAATGCGGATGGGCGGAACCACTAATTTGCTCAAATATGTTCCCCTTTGGCTCTCAGATTAGAGAGACTTTTCAGAATATCAACTACTACTAGTTCATCAGTCTAGTTTTATTTTCTCTATTTCACGAAAATACAAATAGTTGTACGCTCACCAAATTATAGCGATAGAAAAAATATTCACTCGAATCGAACAACATGTGGGTTCAGCCAGATATGATTGAACGATGGATACTTAAATATTCACTTTCTAACTCCTTGTCAGATGTTGCTATGCCGTAAAAAAAGGTCTTCCTCAAGAAACGAGGAGTCCAAATCCAATTCTCCCACCTTTTCACCTTCTTCTAAGAAGTTTGCTCCTCCAAGTCTTGCATGTTTTTCACCTGGTCCTGCGTCTTCAGACTTTGATGATGTTGTATTTGTTGTACTTTCATCATCAGTATCCACTGAAGATGAAGATGTACGAGATGCCCATCTTGCGGCCCAGTGCCACTTTTTCTGCAACAAAGACCAGTGTTTATCGCTGAAGCGTGCTCGTATTGCCTCAATTTCATGATCGTATGGAGCATTCCCCAGGCGTCCGCATTCGTTAGAAGTGGACGATTCTAAGGAGACTCCTACTGCTAGTCATGCACGCATTTGAAAACTAGACGGCGATCAATCAGAAGACTAAGACAGAATCTTCTCTTGAATAAGACCAAGCACTAAGATGTCATGTGATGACACCAAATGAATATCCTCCCAAGAACATCATGCTACTTCTCAATCTCAAGAAGAACAACAGCAGGCTGGGACCCAATCACTATGATCACATGAACTATTATAATCAGCCAACGTGATCTTAACTTCGGGATAAAAGCTCCACACGGGAGTCGCCACGTCTGCTCGCACAACAGTTTTTGACGAGGATGAAGACGTCGTTGTTGATCCAGACCAGTTGATGTAGCCTCCTCCACTTGATGTAGAATTAGCAGCTGGTGCAAGTTGACCATTCTAAAAAGGCCCACATCTATTCAAGTATATGCGAGTTTCCTGCTTCAAAACTTGTTCATAGATTTATGCTCCGTCCATTCTATACCTGAAGAGAAGCATAAATCTTCTATGACCAGAAGTCATCTAAGTACCTATTCGATTAAGGTCGACTTCGATTAAGGTCGACTTCCAACCCTTAATAGAAGTAGATGCTTGAACGTTCGTTTTTCTCCACGTGCTCGTACTATTGAACGGATCCACGAGTAGAGGATCCGCACTTGTACCCTTCGCTGCGCGAGGAGTGCACTTCCCTCTAGAACTACCACGCAGATTTCCTATGAAAGTAGGAGAAAGTGCTGTACTCATGCTCAAGAAAGCAGATCAAGATGGAACCTGCCTAGTTTCTTGAGTACGAGTAATTCAAATTTTTTCCTTGTCATATTTCCTGAATCTTCTTCCGCACACTCAAGGGCATGGACGCCCAACCCCAAGAGAGAACTCGTCGATAGGATCATATGAGCTCCAAGTTGAAGTACTATCTTCTTCTTCGCTGAGGAAAACAACATGCTGCAGATGTTGCTCTTCCTGCATAAAAAGTTGTTCTTCCTGCTGGACATGTTGTTCTTCGCGCTGAAGATGTTATTCTTCGTGATGAAGACGTGACTCCTGTTCCTCCTAAGCATCTCGTTGCTAAGCACTTCGTTGCTAAGCACTTCGTTGTCAAGCACTTCGTTGCTAAGCACTTCGTTGCTAAGCACTTCGTTGTCAAGCACTTCGTTGTCAAGCACTTTGTTGTCAAGCATCTCGTTGCTAAGCACTTCGTTGTCAAGCATCTCGTTGCTAAGCACTTTGTTGTCAAGCATCTCGTTGCTAAGCA